TTGCAAGGCTGGATCATCTGCATTCATGTCACATAGATTTTCATGTCACACTTAGATGTTATTTTAAGATCTCCACAGATTATACAGGCAGCCTGTTCCAGTCCTTAACAAGAGTGTTTTCCAAATATCTCAGAGATCAAAACTGCAACCAGCCATGAAGAAATACTCACACACTGTACAGTCAGCAGCCCTTCCCTATTGACTGTACTTTTCTCCTTAGTATATCCCTTCACATATTTTTCACCCTCTTCTTTTCTGAGCTAGCCCTTTCCCTCCACTTAAAGACAATTACCATAATAGTTATTTGGATTATCCTCTTACAGGACTGTCCTGATTTGGACTAATTGGATCTTTTAGTGCAGTTTTCCTGGTGAAGGCTCTGTTTCCAGGCTACTGCATCACCACCGACGCATTTCAGGCTTCTTCTCCTACCCGTGCCCAGAGTTTTTTTTGTTTCGGTTTTGTTTTAATCCAGACCGCTTCCCACACGTAGCTTAGACAGCAACCATATCAGTATCTGACATAAATGAAAGATGGGGCCATAAACCCTCACGGGGAGATGAGGGAGAGTGTCTAAGATAGGGGACATCTTTGACTGGATAAGCCATGAAGAAATAGCAGTAATGAAGAAGGTTCTGAAAGAATCAGAACACAGATTTTGATGTATTGCATATTCTTTGCAACCTTTTACAACATTGCAATCATTCGCAAAATACAAATAAATAAAACGAAGAGAAATCCCTTACTTTTATGAGCTTCTGCATTGGCAACATAAATGAATCCATCAACTACCTCGCACACCTTTTTCACTTGAGCTATCACACTGTAGTGCACAGCTTGCTGATTCCCTGCTACGCTGTTGTCTTGGTAGAACATCTTATTCACAGCAACCGCTTGCTCTGCCCTTGCTCTCCTCCTTTCCACACTGAAAGATATTTCAATGTTTCTCAGGTTAATTAAGAATGCAAAAACTCAAATTTGAGAGTCTAGGCAGCACAGTACAGGGACAGGAAAATGGCCTGAGCCAGCAAAACAGTTTCATTTCTCCACACACCCCCTGCCCCACCTTCTTTTCTAGTGTACTTATGCAGATGGTTAGCAATTCGCAAGATGCATATGAAAATACACCCCAGGATGAGTTTATACAGTGCTTCAAAAGGGAATCAATCAAGGTATCAAGAGCACCTGTTATGTATTTGTCATACACGTTTGCTTATGTATAAGGTTTGGAAAAGGTTTATTACTTCCATGTGAAAACTAAGCAGTTGGAGAAAGAAAAAAAAAGTGAAGATGTGCATCGAAGCTTCAGTTTAGAAGGGGTAGCCATGGATGTGAATGCACACATAAAAATCACGTAACAAAAACATGAGGAAAAGTATGAAATAACAGAGAAACCGTACTTTTTTTTTGTGGAGAACAAATCTTACCTGGTGGTAGAATACAGTGTCAGAATATTGAATTTTTGATTGTTATTAAACTGAAAAGTGACTCCTGATCCAATTCCTACAGGGAAAAAAATGAATATATGAGATTACAACTATTTGTTTACTGAATATAACTAAGTGGTAGGCCGAAAATTCCAGTGGAGCTATAAAGTGGATATGTCCAACACTAAGTGTTGCTGTTAAGGGTAGCATACTTACTATTTTACAATGAAATGTTATACTTGCTTTAATTGATGAGACTATTAATTAAAATCTGTTCAATAGCATTAAAGGAAAACAAGGTGGCATCTCCATGTTTCCGACACCTAGACTTGAACCTACAAACCTAAGTCAGAGAGGAGCTAAACTTGCGTTTATTAGCCTAAACTGGCGTAGCCAAGGTTCTAGTCTGTTCATGACAAGCTGCACTGAAATGGATGTAAGAGAGAGAAAAGACAACAACACTGAGAAATATATTTTCACACTTTCTATAAATACAATGTAATTATTCCAATTCTGCTGTGATGAAATAAACATTAATTAAAATGTAATCAATTTTTTTTCTGGTTTGGACTGCAGCGAAATTACAGATGTTCAAATCTGTGTTTTTAAACATTGAAAAAAATCCTCCACCTGCTCCTATAACCTTCTAAATGAAATTTACACCACTTGACACCACAAGACTGAATCATATAAAGGATCACTCTTGACTTCCTATATGAAAACACATGTGTTTTTTAGCTAGTTACTACAAGCAGTATCTAAAGAAAGTTCTGTCTGCATTTACCCGTTACAACAGCAGGTGTGACATGTAATTTAGGATCAAAATAGAAGTACAAGGAGCAAAATGATCCCTCTGACATTCTGCAAATTTAATCATAAATTCATTACTGCTGCATTTTTATCCCAAATGTTCATTGCATTTATCCTTCTGAATAAATACAAAGGGAGGAAAATAATTTTTTTTTACCATTCTGCTACTGAGTTTCAAGGGGAGGAAAAAGCATCCCTTTTCTCCATTTTTCCTCCAATGTTTTTTGTGTTATATCTATTTACAAAATAAAAAAGCCAAAACCCCAAACCAACATTACCATGAATTTGTCTTTGAGGTAGGCCAACTACTAGCAGAATTTCTGGGCATGTCATCATCTTTTGCACTAAGGAGTCGTCCAGCTCTTCCAAACCCGGCCCAAACATAGCAAAGCGAGGTTCTGCCTGAGTGACCAGCGACTGCAAAAAGGAAGTCACAGCTCCATACCGGGGGCGGCTTGATTTCAAACTTCTTCTATTCTGAGGACAGCTTTTTTTATATCTGTGTAAAATAGACGCAACTAGAAATTAAACACAAGATACAAAAGAGGTGTTAATCAAACCACATAAATGGATTTAGGTCCCACGCTTCTCATGCTTTGTCACTGCTACAATCCAAGCATGGGTCAAAAATAGTGAAGTTCCAAACTGACGGTTTCAAGCACCAGTGCAAAGCAGGTGAAGCCATTAGTCCTTTCAAAGTCGCCAGACTGACTTTTTGGACTTTAGTACACTTCTATCTACAGACCTTTTAGCTTCTTTTAAAAAATAAAATAAACAATTACAAATTTCCTCATCTCGCTGAACATACAACTTTCATAAAATTACAGTGAAGCTGATGCATCACATACGATGTAAAAATAAGGGATTTTTGAGTCTGTTTCAGAACTTGTTTAGATCACTTTTCTGTTTATTAACTATGAAACAGGTAGCTCCATCTGAAAAGGACCACTTCCCCTGTAGGCACAGAGAATGCATGCTGTGAAAGGAGAAAGATGTTGTCTGCAAGTTTATGTGCTCATTTGGTACAGAAGCTAGAGGGCATGAAAAGACTTTGGTAATCAAGGGAAAGAAGTAACAAAGAACTGACAGACATCCCAGAGAAGCAGCTTCAGTCTTTGCTTCTGTGGTCACGGCAGGCTGCTGCGGGACAAATCACTTCAGGGAAATGCTGTAAGTGTGCTCTGAGACGCTTTGGTTGTGATCAGCAAAACCATTCAGTGCTCACAGACACAATGGAAATCAGTAACAAGTGGTTGTGGTTTCAAATAGGTCAAGTCTGAAGTATCCAGGCCTAAAGAGATTTAAACCCAACGTTCAAAGCCAGCAGATATTTTGCACTTCAAATTCTTCATGCATCTTTCCCGTCTGTAAAGTGGGGATGACAGGCACAGAGACTGGAGAGGTCAGTGCACTTATCATGAAGAAAGTGTTTCATGAAATCACCTCTGGAAAATTTAACAGCAAATTAAAAAAAAACCAAACTGCAAATTAGTTGAGGGAATTGAATGAAGTTTTAGAAAAAAAAAAAACAAAACACAGAATAATCTGCTTCAGAGTTTACTGAGTCATCCAAACACATTAGAAGTGTAGCTATGTGTTTCAACTGTACTAGCTAAAACCCCCTAGGTCTTCCAGGTAAGATGAAAAAAAATGAAGATTCAGTCCATTTGCTGTAGTTTGAAAACTTGTTCATACTTTTATTAAAATAAGAAATCATTTGTCATTGTACTAAGAGCAAAGAACACACTTTTAATCAAGATCAACCGTATGCACAGCTTCTCAGATGACTGTATTTCTGTGGCATAGCAGACATGCAGTTTATAAAAAGCTTTTTTTTATAACGTTAGCTTTGACTTTTTTGCAACATTTTACATTCTTGTTGAATTCCAGACAGAAAGAGCTGACCAAACTGTCAGACAACAGAAAACTGTATTTCCAAAATAAACAACGGACTTGCAACACATCAAAATGTAAGCAGCAGCTTACAGCACAGCTTTACTGCTGTAAATATGAACCATGCTTGTGGGCTGAATATTAATGCTGTAGAGAGACTGTAAGTCACATAAGAGAAGATGAAGGTACTTACACTGCCATGTAATCGTGCAGCACATTATCGCTGACTTCTGAAAAGGCTTTATTAAAAATCTCCACATCTGGGAGCGATTTCCAATCAACGGATGTCCAGAAAGGGAGATCCCTCAGGAGAAAATACCTCCACAACAAAGGATCTTGCACAGCCGCCCTCCAGTAACAACTCGTGCTTCCTAAATGGCACAGATCTTGGGGTGAGAGGAAGGACATGATGTTCAGCTGCACGTCGATCTGAAAACCGTGGAGAGCGGCGGTTTAACGACCCAGGAACTGCAAGGGACGGGATGACGAGCTTCCCCACCCCGACTGGGCCCCACTCACCGGCAGCGTCTGCAGTGCGCTCACCTCCTCATCTTCCGGGAGCGTTGGG